TTCATATGGGAGCCCAAAGACGACTTACACGATTCGCACACCTCTAAAAGTGATAATATGTAAGAAGACTGCAAGGGGAACTGTAGTACGCGTCATCTCGGGCCCCATGCCTATTTTCGAAACGGCCGAGTGACATACTACTGGAAGCGGCAAGAACCTATCTCCGATGGGAACAGTTTCAGTTTATCAAAAAGGTGCTTTATTTAGACATCGTGGTCGTGGCTGCCACATGGAGTTTTAGGACTAAGTTGTTTCGCCGAGCCTTAACATCCAGCGTGGTCAGCTTTTGGAATGAATTATAGACACATAACACGTACCTGAGCCACCTAGGGTCCATTAGTCGCCAGTTATCTCGTGGACCCAGGCGTAATTTGTGTGATTGACAAGCATCTCGACGCTGGGTCATGGCCACAAGGCCCGCCGTTCATCGGAGGTTAAGGCTAGACTAAATATTGGGTAGGCGCCACACCGTGATCCAAGCTGCCACGAGTGCGTGTGAGGACATATCGCATAGTACTTTGGTGAGGCGAGCAATGCTCGCCAAGGCCTGAATACATCTCGCCTGTGCTGGACTGTGCTGTTCCGGCTATATCGTATCCACGCGGCCTTATCGGTACTACGGACTGCTGGACAATATAGCGTGAAATGGTCCGGCTTAGAAGGAGGATTGAATAGGCTCCACAGCACATGCTGCCCCCTTTGAGTTACTCCGTCTTTAGGCCATGCAAACTAGACAGGCCAAGCGATGCAAGTCCTTATCCTCCGCCCTGGTGAGTTCGCTAACACTGTACCGGACCCTCAGACCGTGCGGGTGGTCCGAGTACGATATTCTACATATGCGTGCGTAATACTAGTACGACTAGTGACCTTCCGTACCGCCCTTCGTCCACGCAACTTACCCGGTGTCACGTTGTGCTTGAAAAGCGTAGCTGCCTCGCTACCGCTGACGCGGCCGCTGTCTGCACCAGGCAAATGAACAGTGAGCCTATGCAGATCGCGCGACCTCCGTGGGACTGTCATAGAAGGTCCAGTTCGCAACCGGAGAAACATCGACATTGACTGCGGGACGATACAGACCAAACCGCTACTGATAGCAGGAGTCACCCTGAGATAGGACCATCTCAAAGAGAGTGCTTACCACCTTAATCACGCTAAATTGTTCCGATTATCTTCTGTAGATATAGTGAGGCATACCACGTGTGAATTGGTGATAGATGTCACGTCGAGGTACACCCGGATGGCGTGTCTACAAAAGTCGCTGGAGGCTCGGGCGTAGGGGATAACGGGATTCGCTGTGTGGCATTGTCGACCCGAACTTGGAGCTGCGGCTGCAGACTAACCAAATTTCTTCGATACCGGGCAATATGAAGGCTTACTCAGTCAGAACAGAAGGACCGGGACGAGGGTTGCGATTCACGCTCTCATCTTTGGAGAGGTGTAGTTGAAAGAGGATAGTTTACTGCTCATGCGTAGCCCCCGCGGTAAAGGAGACGCCGAAATCAAGACGTGGAACCGTGTAACCGACAAGCGAGGGTTGCGTAACCAACACTTTGCTGCAAGGGATGTCCTGGTGCTATGATATTCCGATGTGGTACATGTCTATGCCACAATATCGGCGTAAGCGGGCACCGATGGTCTGTCATTATTGTGCTCTCAAAGTGGAGAAGACGTGACCTGAGTACAGATCCAGACCGTATTTTTGCAAGTGACGACTACATGCTATCCCTGGTCAACACCCGTGGACGAAACAGGTAACATGTTACCCGTCGTCTTGTTCGCATCCCGGCATGCGCAATTCGCAAGCCTTAAGCTCCCTGTATAGCCTCAAGCGAATTGCAAGCCAAAACACTCCCTCCTTTTCTGGATGACCTTGGGTACTTCCGATTTACATGGATTGCGGGCACGACTAAGAAGATCCGCACGCAGAACCCACACTGATAGTGCCGACATCTCGTTGAGATAATTTTGAGAGCTTGGTGCACGGTCCAGCACTGGCGTCGTGACCTGAGGATCGATATTTGGTCCGCGCGTAGATTCCAACACCAGAGCGTCCCCATAGGCTCAAAAACTAATCCATTGGCGATGGTACCTTAAGTCTATCAAAAGTGTACCCTTATCCGACGAAACTAAACTAGTAACTACTAGCGGATATAGCACGGGGGGCGGAATGGGTTTTCTATTTCGTCTTTTGATCAAGGTAGTCCTCCGCGAGCGCTTTCCACTTAAATGAGGCTGCTGATACTCACGACTCCTTTTGGTGAACACGTTCCGTTGCGGGCAGTTTCCTGAATGCAGAGCTACGATCACACCTCCCGTCAATATTAGCCAACTTGACAGACACTTTAACACGCGGCCTCGACTGACTACCGCTAGGGTAAGCGACTGTGCAGGTAAAGTCTCACAGATGGATGAGCTGTTCTTGCGAGGTGAGGCGGAAGAGGGAGGTGTCCGCGCCGGACTTGTTCCTTTTCGTAATTGTCCGGTTAGTCGACTCTTCCTACTGTCTTGTCACATACCTCGTTGGACGAGTTCGTGGCCGACTTCGTACTACATTTCGTTCAATGATTACATTCTAGATGCCTTGGGACGATATGATTTGATGGATGTGGCAATCCCCTCCTTAGAAAGCGCGGGGTGGTTCAGTATATTGCCAGCGGCGTCTATCGCATGTATAATGCAGAACGCTCCGGCTCGACAGCGGATCGTAGTTCATAGATACCGCGCGTCCAATGGTTTACAGACTAACTATCGGCTGCACAACTGTGGCTGGGGCTCACCTAGAAATATGCGGTGGTGGGATTGGCGTGATCACTAAGGCTATTCATTCGATTAATTCCCACGGTAACAGATATTGGACATGAAATAAATGTGACGAAAAGATGGGAACCAGCAAGCGCGATAGACAAATAATGGTTGTAGTCAGTTCAAGACTTCTTCCATACAAACCAATTCGGGCTAAGGTAGCTCGCCCGCGGACTGAGACCGTCTAGAACACGCTAGCTCGGTTCACAGTAGTCGACCTAGGTGCTTCGGGTTGCTAGTTGTTGTCACTTGCACGCTCCACGACATAACGACATGGAGGTAAGGGTAGTCACGACGTGCTCTATTCCTAGTTGGTGTCAACCTCGTCACAATGATGGTGACAACTTACACCATAATCGCCACCACCCGAGAATTAGGCATTTATGGCCAATGACGAAGACGGAGACCCGAATGAGTATGTTCTCCGAAATCCCATTAATGCTTGGATCAAAACCCAAGAATATCGAAAAGAGGGTCGCTTCCTGAGCTAACATGTTTGGCAATTCGTGCACGGTTTTGACGGCCAATTGAAAGATGCTTTAGGCGGGATACATGAAACCGGGTTCGTTGGTGATCACGATTCGCATTCAAGAGGCCGCGAGTGTTAATAAATCTTCACTCGAAAAGAGATACCAGGTTTAGGATCACCTGACATGTTTCATCAGCAACGACGATGGCTGATGGTTCGTTCAACTGCTACTAATAAATAGGCCAACCCGCTTAGTCGAGTTTGTTCCCATAATAGTTATTCCTTCGCTTATTGGGGGAGCCGACCATGTGCAATAGTGAACACCCGTGGTAATGACACAGCTGCCCTCTCAGTTAGATTTTAAGCCATATTCAGACTGTTCTCCGCCTCAACAAAGGTGCGGATCCCACATCAGGATCTCAAATCGAAAAAGAGTAGACGGGAATGTAAGCCGAGTCCAAGGTAAGAAGGCCCTGCCTATTACCATCAACTTGGTTCAAGGTCGTCGTTGGTATTTTTGGTCGATGATCAGTGTGCGACCAGAGAGTATTCCCAGGTCGTCAGAGGGGATGAGTTTCTTCGCTGGTACTGGTTCTGCGCACGTTACTTGTTTAGCATCTAAGTCTCAGTCCCCGGCCCGACTGTGACAGAGTCAGTAATCTAATTGATCTCCAGGACACTCATTTGGTTGGATGTCACGCTCTATAAACCAAAATGCACTAAGGACAGCTAGAACTTACCTAACCTGGTGTTCGTTACTGTATTCTATACGGTTGCACCAATATACAGGAGCCCTAATGGCAGGAAGTCCAGAGCAGTTGTTAAAAAGACGGCACGCCGGCCGTAAGACGTCCAACATTGCTCTTGGAGAATCTGGACGGTCCATATCTTAGAAAGGGTAAGCCTCAGGCGGTATCTTCACCACCCGATCTATGTTTTGGTGGAATCTGCCTGGACCAGGAGCTCGCGAATGCGTTCTATTTTGCACCGGAACGGCAATCTTATGATTTTAAGAATATATCGCAGTGAACCTCATTTCCCCCCTTACTTGCCTGAGGTAACCATCTGCTCGCTGAACATAGTTTCTACATCTCAAGAGGAGACGATACACCCCGGCTGTAAGACAAAAGGTATCAACGTGGGTCAGCGCTAACATCATGAGCCCTGAAGCCCAATCAAAATAGTAATTGAAAACATATGCGAATACATAATTTTTTATGTTTTGCATTTTCCCAATGAACTTGGATCACTCAAGAAAGAGAGGACCCAATAAAGGTTTCTCTGTGCACAAAATAGGCTGTGTGGTGTTGTGTCTAAATGCCGGCAAGATAGCATGGTGGGAAGCATAATCTTAGTCAAAATATTAACTACCTCACCTGGTATACAGGAGATCGTGGGTTTGATCCTGACTCTAACGTCTGCATATGTGGAGTTCGCTTGTTCTCCCCGTGGCCGCGTTGATATATCTCCGGGTCCTCCGGTTTTTCCCTCCACATTTCAAGTATTTGGCTCCTATAAATTTCCACATAAGTCACTTTGTTGAGCAATCATTTGTGGTTAGGTCACTTCTGAAAAAGAGCTATATAGCTCACTGGCCCTTACCTGGCAAAATAAAAAATAGTTAGTTAGTATATCATCAGGGTCCACCCCTTGACCTCCTGCCAGTGAGCCTTTGACACTTCACTTGGCCTCAAAGTGCATCTTGCCTAGTACAAACACCATGGTGATATCACCGCCACTTCGGTCCAAATAGCGGTCGTTGTTGCTGCGCTGCCCTGTGGAATCGCTTACCTGCCCTCTTCAGGCCGTGCAGGCCCATGAGGCAAAGCACGAGCATTCTGAAGACAAGAAGGTGGGAGAGGCAGGGGGCGTCATGGTCCTCGGGTCCTGCACCGGCATTGGCCCCCGCGGCCGGCAAGTAGAACATGCAGAGGTTAAAATCGTGCAGGACGGCCTGGCACAGGGAGGTCACCTCTGCCTCGGACACACTGACAAAAACACAGGCCAAGGAGCGAGTGTTAGGAGTAGTGGGGGGATGTCAACAGATTAAATGTATGGAAAATGTTATCCTTGATTCATGTTTAATTGAAAACATTACAAGTAAAAACAAACAACCCAAAATTGACACGACCATGCGGTGATGTGATCCATACCTGCTGGTTGGATGAAGCAAACTCTGAAGGTAGAGGAAGCTCACAAGAAGCTTTTTAAGGTCTCGTGACCTGTTCATTATTTACATGTAAAACAGACAACAGTTTATTGGAAATTAACATTCATCTCCAGAAAAAAACTATAAAGGTGTATGATTCTGAAATGGAGTTCACATCGGAAAACGTCTAGCATTGCATGCTCTACGTTTCAAAGTAAAAAAAAAACAATATTGCTTAACAACTAGATAATATAAATTAATATCCAAAGGTTTGCCATTGTACTTTGAGAAATTCAATAAAAATTAACTTCTCAATCGAGTTTCAGTGCTCATTAGATACGTATCCAGCGACACCTAGTGGTGATCCATAAGAGGTTGTTTGGGGATCATGTTGGTCGCGAAAGCCTACGTGTTAAACTACCTTGTGGTGACATTCATTAATTAACAATAATATTTACCCTTGCGATACATGCAACAAATCCTGTAATATTTGTTTTAAGATTAAAGTCACTTAAATACAATAGAGAAAATAAGACTGTGCAAATTATACAGGCCACACGTAAGCTTTTTTGTTAAATAAAACTGTGATAATTTATTGAATTAATGCTGGAGTAAATTGTTACATGGCTACAAGCCAATATCCTCTGCTGTAACCCAAACATAATATTCACTAGAACATAGAGTTTCAAGACATAAGCCTCAAGGCATCACAGAAAACCTCAGTCCCTTGAAAACCATTTGTTGGCATTAATTTTCACAGATGTCTGTCCTGAAGAAACACCATGAAATTATCCTTATGTTGGCATTACAAAAACTACCATTTCATGTTATACACTTAAAAACAATACTTAAATGAAGCAACATCTTTATGACTTTTAAGTTGTACATTTAGATTGCATGAAGTTCTATAGCCATGCACGATCAAATACAAGTATGTGACAAGTTCTTTATCATGGCTGCATTCAGTTGATAAGTGTGAATGATGCAGTTGTCACACCTCTGTTTACTAAGAGATGCCTTCTTACAAGGAGCCTCTTTCTTGAGGAGCTCCATATACATCTTCTTGGCTTTAATAAACACTCGTCTCATGTTACCAACAGCACCGTCAAATCCCACCTCAGACTGAATGCTACGTGGAAACAAAAGTGGAAAACACACTTGAAATTTTCGCACCTAAAGAAGTTTTTGAAAATGAATCGATAAAAAAAACACCGCAAACTTCTTTAAAAAGTGTTTATGCATTATAGTCATAGGCAATGGGGTTTACCAGCGCATGTAGTAGTAGGCTGCCTCCACATTGTAAGACCGGTTCCCAGCCAATGTACCCAACTGATTTAAAGGCATTCCTATAAAAAAAGACAAAAACAACGCAGTTACACAAACCAGAGGTTCGCCCTTGGTGCAGTTCACAAATTCTGTTGAGACATAAGATTCAAGTTGACAATACAAACTGGTTGAGTAGCAACTACTATTATTGTTCTTGAAGCTTCCATCCCCTAAACTTTACTCCTCCCTTCCCTCCCCACCTCCACCAAGAGCCATGGTGGTCAAATAACTACGACAACACGCAAAGTTCAAAATATTTAGCTTAGCATGTATTATTATTATTGCGATGATTCAGGCAAAATATGATTCATAGGGTGGACCCCTATGAATAACACATTAATTATACTCTTAGGTTTTTTTCGGTAAAGTCACATAGGTAAAAAATTATGATAAAATGATATTAAATGAAAATAACTCAATTAAATCACGACGTTTCGGAGGCAACACAAGCTTCCTTCATCAGGTGTAAAAAAGGCACAGCAAAATAACTGTAGCGAAAAAAAAAACCTAAGAGTATGAATCCTTGCAGTGACGAAAGCTTCAATTCTAGAATACATTCATTATACACAAAAATCAAGCTTTAGTTGTTAGTTGATGCTCTATAACACTGCATTGGTATGATGACAGCATAGTATCAAGGTACTGCAAGAATAGCAATTACCACATGTGACCACTCATAATGACATTTACTATAACAGAGGTTAAAGGTTTAGATTGAAGGGCACCAATGACAGCAGTGATATTTTTTTTAAGAAGATACAACTCAAAATTAATCGTGCAGACAAACACAATCTCTGTCTTGGTCCGTCTGATAGAACCTTGAAGTTTCATAAATGAGAAAATAATTGAAAGCCACATTCCTCGCATAGCGCCCTCGAATGACAGAACTGCGGTATGACTCCCAAACCTTTGAATACAAAGTAGAAGATTGGCTTTTAGCTTAAACATTCGTGACTGCAGGAATTCATATTCTTTGGTTCTTTCGGTAAAGTCACGTCGATAGAAAATAAAAACAAAATAAAAATAAATTTAAAAATAAATTTAAAATAAAAGCAAAAAACGCACATTTCGATCGCAACACAAGCTGTCTTCATCAGGCGGAGAGAAAAGAGGGGGCAAACCTCCAAAAAGAGGGACCAAGCCTCCATTAGCATTGGCTGCCCGGCCCATGCTGTTAACGCCGCACAGCTTTCCTTGCTGCTGCCTCACAACTCTAGTCCCCGCCCACTCACGACTTTGAAGCCCTTTTCAGCAGTTGCATTTGGAGGCTTACCCCCTCTTTTCTCTCCGCCTGACGAAGACCGCTTGTGTTGCGATCGAAACGTCGTGGGTTTTTTGCTTTTATTTAAAATTGTATTTTAATTTATTTTTTTATATCTACGTGACCTACCGAAAGAACCAAAGAATAAAAGATTGGCCACTACAGCTACTTCATAATAAGCGGTGCATGAAGGGAGCCACCACTATGGCTAATTCACGACACACAGCGCATGGTGGGAGCCATCCATATAAAATGGAGACAAAGTACACCAGGAAACATCATAACCTGTGATGGCTCAAAACCTGTTATTTGCCGAATGCACGGTGCGACATTGTCAATAAAGGAAAGTGCGGCTAAAATCCATTGATGTCCATTTCTATGCTCCACTGCTTATTCTCCCCAAACTTAAAATTCACCAACTAACACGAACCAGAAAGGTGAAATATAGTCACATAATCCCCACGATCCATACGACATGAGGTTGTTGCTCATCCAGCAGTGGATTGACAAAGGGCTGTACAGTAAACCTTGGATTGCGAGTAACTTGGTCTGCGAGTGTTTTGCAAGACGAGCAAACATTTTAAATAAATATTAATTTGATAAACGAGCGAGGTCTTGCAATACTAGCACGTATACGTTTTGTCTGCCGAGCGTCACGTGATCACAACTGATATACGAGTGCTTTGATATACGAGTGCTTTGGATTACAAACACGTTTCCGGAACGAATTTTGCTCGCAATCCAAGGTTTTACTGTACATGTAAAATCTGCTGGGAAAATGTTTTGGGAATGAAATACAAATGCATCCAACTCTTATTTGGGTTGTTCAGTCTTCCCCCACACCTGAGATTATCACGGTGGCTATGTATGGTGTGAAAGAAGTTCAACAAACATACATACAAGACACAAACTGGACAATTCCAGTGGTAAGCAGAGATGTTCTCAACGTACCAACGTGGGGAGCTACTGCCAGAGCCTGGAGGTAAAAGCGCTCGGACAGGTGATGGGTGTCGATGACGCCCAGCTCATTCTGGTAGCGAGCTACAGCAGACAGAGCCAGCACACACCATCAATCACAGCACCGCTACTCAACAGTGATATGCATACTACTCCGTATCTGTGTTCCACATGCAAAATACGAATACAATATTTGCTTGCTAAAATATGAGCTCAGTTATAGGGAGAGACACTACGGGAAGTGTTCTGTTTGACCACAAATGTCAACAAAAACCAGTACATTCTGTGGGTTAGACAGCGGCTTCCTTCCTTCTGCATTGTTTATTGTTGTTTCTTGTTTACTCGGTAGCTCACCTAGGTCTCCAAGGTATATCAGGCAGTGGTGACAAGCCATCCGTGCCCACTCCAATGCACGAGATGAAACCATCGCTGGTTTCTTTACAGCTGCAACAAGAAACATTACAAATAGCGTTAAAGTACAACCACATCACGTGATACAAAAAAAACTATTGGATATTTTTGTTACAAAAAGGCATTTGCTCATAGGAATGGTAAAAATCAAGGTCTTGAGCCTGGATTTGAATAGGAGCAGAGGACTTAACAGCATGGATGACTGTCGGCAACATGAGAACATTATAGACCACCCATGAAGCAAAGGATGACTGAAGCTTTGACAGAAAGCCTCGGTTGGTTGAGTGGAGTGCGGGGAAGGAAGCAGTGAGATGAGAGCGGAAAGGTATGTAAGGGTGAGTCCAAATACAATCCAATGGATTTAATAGAGGAACACTTTCAGATTTATTTTAAAGCTCTGTACACTTACAAACAATGCATAACTTTTACATCTAGAAATCAGCCACTATGGTGCATTATTGTATGTTTTATTCCTCTTGAATATCTTAGGAAATTTTTTTTTTATTTAGGTCTTTGCATGTGGAATTGACATGCACCATCTGTGCACAGATACACAGGCACTGCCGTGACTCTGGATTTGAAGCGGAGGTGGTTACACAAAAGAAACAAAGTTATTATTTGTATTATTTGGTTCTTTCGGTAAAGTCACGTATAAAGATAAAATAATAAATTAAATAATAGCATACGACGTTTCGATTGCAACACAAGCAATCATCATCAGGTATAAATGAAATAGCAACAAAAAATCTAACCAGAAAACTATAGACAGACATATAAGCAGACAGATATCACCAAGATACATAGAGAGAGTAACACAGGTACAGAGAGGGGGATCGTCTCTGTGGGGTGGCCTTAAATAGACAGAGGGGGGCGGAGGCAGAGAGAGGGAGGGGTTAGAGAAAAAATTTACATGTCAATGAGTACGAAGAGACGCGTAGTAAAGTACGCAGGCTTGAACATTAGGAGAGAGGGAGAAAGAACACACTAAATTAAATAACCTAGCAAAATATCGAAATGTTAAGATTATTATTTGTACTTGCTTCGTGATCTCAGTCTGCTTACTGAATGTTCAAAGAACTGTCAGACACGTGATCATAAAATGTTCAAAACTCCCTTGAAAACAGCAACGACTTGAGTGCCACCTTGTGGATGGATAACAGATAAACTGCCAATCATTCGAAATTCTGCCATATATTCCGTTGCATAGTAATAATGCAGAATGGACAACTTTTCCAGGTAACCTGTCTCCAATAGCAGATTGGATATATGAATGATGGAAAACAAGAACAAAATAATAAAACAATCGCATTGTTTTATGCCACTACGATGGCGCTGTACCGCTCAGCGTGTCGACAACGTGGGTCCAGTCGATACAGGCCTGCAGCTCCAGCTGATAGTGAGACTGCAGGGTAAGCAGCAGGTGTTGATAGAAGCCGACACCCGCGACAAGGTGCGTGCGGTACGCACATTCCATCGAGCCCCGGGTCTGAAGCTGCTGCATGAGGTAAGTCACCCCAAAAGGCAAGTTTAAAAAATCCCACAAGACAACAAATCTGTACACACAGTAGCTTTAAACACATACATGTATATATCTGTATGTTGAAGCAATGTATGACATTAAAGTGTCTGCAGTTAGTGTTGCAGACAAGAACATTTGAAATTGGGCTGAGAGAAAAAACGCTTTTCAATAAGTTAGGCAATGACAAAAGGGGTGCAAAATGCAGGGTCCACACTTTTGAAAGAGTCAATGCACAATAGATTACGGCATGTGTGATATATTATAAACATTTTCTCATGAAAATACAAATTTTGTGAACATATGACATCAGAAATTTTTCCCAAATACTATAAATATATACTCTTTGGATCTTTCGGTAAAGTCACGTAGGTAGAAAAAATAATAAATCACGACGTAGCTACTACGTGAGCAGTCCTCCTGCTGTGTTTGTTTCACACCTGATGACGGTTGCTTGTGTTGCTATCGAAACGTCGTGATCTATTATTTTTTCTCCTTACGTGACTTTACCGAAAGAACCAAAGAGTATGGATTCCTGTAGTCACGAAAGCTTCAAATCAAGATAATATCAATATTTTAGTATTGGTAATCTGTGTGTTCGTTTCACAACATGTGAAGCAACTTTGGACAAAAAAAATGATACATGTAATATTTCCTGCACACAGAAATTAAGCAGTCTATCACTGGTTCACTCTCTCGGCACAACAGATGAAATTGTAAAGTTTCTTAAATCCCTCCTCGTTATTTTAAATGGCTACACTACAGTTAGTCATGGTGTGGGTAATCGTCCCTCTTCCAAGATGTCTGGCCAGTATGGAAGAGTAGGCCAAATATCCCCTAGAGGCTATCTGGTGCTCCCTCTAGTGGAGACCCTTCTACCAGCCGTAATATGAACAAAAAATGCATAGGTGCACCTTTACCTTTTATTGCCTTATTTAAAATACCACACCTTACGATTTGCTTTGACAGCATGAATCACTTCATAGTAGACCTTCCTCCAAAGCAGCTCCTCAGCCTTGCGTCCGTAATCCACAGGGTGCAAGAACATGAGCTTCACGCACAGCTCCCGCAACCTTATTGCAATGAAAACACACACAAGCATGCAAAAACTGCAGGTTCAATTATGATTAGAGCAGCTATGTTTTATATGCACCCTGAGGTGACGAAGTGGCCCAGAGATCACAGCACCAAATCATACTGCCGAGATCCTGGGATCAAATCAAGGTAGCCTGTTATTAAACAGAGTTATTCAGTGTAGTATGCCGATGGTCTCAGCCCAGTAACCAATGGTGGTACAAAAAAAAGGATTAGTTTAAATTTGGTTCTGCACTCAATTGGCTAAATTACAGTTATAAGATTTAAAATATCAGTTTGACTCATGCGATGAACATTACTCTCAGTGGCAGAGTGGGTGGAGAAAGTGCCCTACTGTGTGGACCAGATGTCACTTCAAGGATCCCAGAGGTAGTTCTGTGATATACGCTTCTGTGGGCCATTCTCTGGATACTTTATCTCATGACGTGATGCCGATCGCACGATTGGAATTAAATTGTATAAAAATAACCATTTAAATGAAATTCACCCTACCCACAAAGTGTGGTCCCTCCAACACTGCAGTAGATGCAGTGTTGGAGGGAATATTCTTTAATTAACATTCATTTTGTTGAACATGACAGAACAACACATTTTAACATCTTGCAATGATATCAATTTTATTGAAACAAATTGCTTACTTGTTTCTTTGGCTCACATTCTCTGGCTTGAAGACTTCTTGACAAACAGATGAACTGGAAATTATGGTGTCCAGCCGATGAACAACATCCACACCGCCCTACAAGCAGGTTACACCAGGACACACAGCATTTTAATAATACTTAAGAATACTTTCATTTTATATAGCGTCATTCATGCCAACAGCAACCCACAAAGCTGTACATGAATGACATATAAGGACCAAATCCCTAAACGCAGTTGACTAGGGAGAGCGCTAAAGAAGCGTTACAACTCGCACTCAATTTTTATAAACGGTGAACCAATTAATGGCAGAGGCCGTTTCGACAATTATAACGTGACAAATAAGCTATTATTGTCCTAAACACTGCATTATCCACAGCTGAAAAGGTGCCTACAGAGTGTATTCAGCATAAAACTTTATGTAGTATTCTTTGGTTCTTTCGGTAAAGTCACGTAGAAATAAAATAAATAAAATAATAAATACAACGTTTCGATTGCAACACAAGAAACCATCATCAGGTAGAACTAAATTTGAGCGAGAGACAAAACACAGACAGACACACAAGCAGGAGAGACAACACAGAGACACACAGAGACACAACATAGACACACAGAGACTCAATGCCTCTGTGTCGAGGCCTTAAATAGAGAGGGGGGCAGAGAGAGAGGTGGGTCTGCTGGAGCAGAGAAATTCGTATGTCACTGAAAGACTCACAGACTGGTACATTTCGATTTAAAGCTTTCGTGACTGCAGGGATTCATCTTCTTGTTCTTTCGGTAAAGTCACGTAGAAGGGAAGTAATAAATAATAAAAATAAAACAAATAAAACAATTCTCACGACGTTTCGGCTGTTTCATTCAGACGCTGTCGCCTCGACAACCTGGTTTTCACCTGAGGACGGCTGCTTGCGTTGTGGCCGAAACGTCGTGAGAATTTTTTTATTATGTTTTATTTTTATTATTTTATTACTTCCCTTCTACGTGACTTTACCGAAAGAACCAAGAAGAAGACTGGTACATTTTAGAGAGAGTTGTGTGGAAACCCACATCAATGAGAGATTATAATATTGCACACTAATGTGCTGTATTCCAAGAGAGTGGTAAGCACACAACGCTTTGCATCCAGCGGCCTGAGTTCAAATCCGGCTCACATCAGGAGCGTGTGATAAATCTGAACCGGACCAGGGCCACACTCCATTTACCAACCCACACTGACCATCATGGTGAAGTATGGTCAAACAACCCGCAATGACCACGACGTGGAAGGCCTGAATCCAGCAACAGATTAACAAAGAGCTCTACATGCTTCTTCGTTTAGTTTGAAGTTTGTCCAAATGTCTCAATTGTGTGTTAAAGGGGGCAATTCATCCTGCAGCGTCTCACGAACAACGTACCGATGAGGAACGATAAAGTCGACCTATTTGGATTGGGCCCTTTAAACACAAGTGGATCATCGACCGTGGCTCTATGATGATGATGAACTACATCGTAATGTGGTTCAGAGGCCCATGCGAGCCGGTCGACTTGGAGAGGGCCTTCATCAAGCAGCAATACTCATGATGATGATGATGGAAATACAATATCACCACTAGCTCACCGGCAGACTTGGGAGAGGGAGCATTCATCCATCGGTGGCACATAGTTCATGATGATGACGAACAAAAAATAATACCATAGACCTCCCTTAATTCAGCAGTGGATCTACCACGGCTCATCCTCACGATTAAATAACAACACCAATGAGGCCAAGTGACCCGGACCACTTGAAGAGGGCCCCCTCAACAAGCGGTAATGATCACGGCTCAATAATTACACCAATGGTCAAAAACAACATCACGAAATACTATCAATCCGTTGAATTAACAACAAAATCAAACAAGACGGACCCCCCCCCCCCCTCCGATAACGCCACCGAGGCCTAGCGAGTAGGCCGCGAGATGAGGGCCGCGAAGTCACCGCGCTCGACTAGCGGCGCACCCACCGGTAGAGGCGCTTCGTCTGCACGATTCTAGGCGAGTCGTGAGGAGGCAGCGGCGCCGCCGGTGGGGCCGGTGGGGCCGCCTCGGCCATCGGGAGGCAGCACGAGTCGCTCGCCGTGGTCATGGGGCCCCGCGTCTCTCCGACTCCTCGTAGCGAGAGGCAGACACCATCACGACACCGACACGATCGATCCTTCGATCGATCGCTCCTTGAAGCCGTCTCGGAAAACGCTGCGCGGCTGGTGAGTGGAAAGCTTCGGAGGTGTGGAGTGCACCTAGCCTGGCACGGGGGACGTCACCGCCGCGTAGTGGCCGATTGGTGTGCTTTTGTCACTTGCGTCCGATTGTAAATGCTGTGGCTTGGTTCTCCAAACACACCGGTGTTGTTGTTGTTGTCGTCGTAGTGACGAATTGGACGCGTTCTGTTTACGTGACAAACCCCCTTATTAATTGGCCGTGTCGGGTGGTGGCGGGTTTAACGACACATTTATAGTTACGCCATCTAACCCAAAAAATAAACAAAAATCTGTATTATGGATGGTATTGTTCGCGAATGCACTAAACACGTGTTAAGGTAACGTCTGGTGTTGTGTCTGTGCAGTCGTTTGTGATGGTGGAGAGAGGTGGTGGTGTGGCAGGAGTTATCCCTCCTTGTGGATGTGGAGGGAAGTGTCACGTAGTAAGTTTGCTTCCGCGACCAATATCGATAATATAGGTAGTTTTTGTTTATTATTACACGCTTGTTAACACATTCCTGCAGAGGGAGCTGGTAGGAACGTTGGGTTGCTCGGTCAATGGTCAGGATCAACGGCGGCGTGGTGTATTCCGCAAATATGCCCGACTGTGAGGGCGGGCACAAGTCGGCGTGAGTAGGTTAAAACGTTGAGTTTTATAAGGTTACAACGGGGTGACCAGCCCCTCCCCACCCAGCCACCCAGCCACACCCCCCACCCAGCCCTACCCTCCCTACCCAGCCCCTTCCTGCACGACGGACGGACACAATAATCGCCTGTGGGCTGGTGTAACCAGGTTCCTACCAGTATTAACTCACTCTGTTGTATCCTCAAATCTTGTAACTCAATTTTAACCCACTTCCTAATGTGGTATCGACTGCAAACTTGGCATACTTATGTCATACTGATGACAATACTATATTCTATCATAAAAAATTTAAATATATATTTTTAAACATTATTTTTTATGTTATGTTTCGGCTTGGGTCTAATTGTCCACGGTCAACTGACGTTGGCTGTAAATGACCAAGGTCCCTTATGTTATGGCAAGCTTCGGGGCCACTTCTTGGAGTCGTGGAGTTCTGCCATTACTAGTACATTTCATAAAAGCGTGTTTTTAAAATAATACTTATTTTGGGGTTAGATCGTGTAAATGTGTCGTTAACCCCGCCACCACCGACATAAGCAATTAGTAAGGTTTGTCGCATAAACAGAATTGCCAATTAACATGTTGTTTACTCGACAAACCGTACTAACTAGTAAGGTAAACAGAATTTACGTGACAACCCTTACAAAACAGAATTGGCAATTGGCATGTTTACTTGACAAACCTTACCAATTGGCTGTGTCGGGTGGTGGCGGATTTAACGACACATTTATATTTCTGCGATGTAACCCAAAAAAAACTGTACTATGGAAGTGTCAGGGCGTCGTGGCGGTGTGGAGTGAACCCGATAACATGCGACGCTGATCTTGTTATCGGGATAACGGTGATACAGGGTGAACGGACTCCGAAGGCTTCATGGTTGTATAGGGGGTATAGACTACGGGATATGTTAAACAAATATTCTGGCAAGTCAGTATCTTAAATGAACCTCCACTATTATTGGAGATTCAACGGTACAAAGAAATGTACAGAAACACAAAAATTAAGCATCCACGAGGTAATCACAATGGTTTGCAGAATGTTGATTTTCTAATGAAAATACACATTTTGTGAACATATTTCTTCATAAATCTTGCCAAACACTATTGATGTTAGTATTGGTAAGCTGTTACATCATAGGTAGTTCGCTCAGATGAAATATTAAAGTTTCTGAAATCCCTCCTAATTTTAAACGGATACACCAGTTGGGTAATCGTCCTTCTTCCAAGACGTCTGGCTAGTATGGAAGAGTAGGCAAAATGTCCTCCAGATGCATTTGAGCAATAATCTTCAGGTGCACCTTTACAGTTTGCTTCACAGCATGAATCCGTAATCCACAGGGTGAAAAAACATGAGCTTCACGCAGTTATTGTTGGTGTGTAGTTTTACTTTTAACTCTTGCAACATGGCTGGGGGAGGACAGTTGATTGAAAACAATTTGTATCTAGCACAAGTTACAACTAAACAGCTCCCCTATCCATGTTGAGTATCATATGGTAGGTATATACCGCCGCCTTTTAATTGCAGATGGAATTCAAGTAAACTAAAGAACAAAGAAAGTGTTTACATATTTTTTATTATTTCTACAAGGATAACACATTTTAGTTCAGTTGCATAAATACAAGCGCACAGGTGAGAAGCATTCAACTTATGGTTAAAATACATTTTACGGTACAAAATGTCAGAGCATCAGTCACAATGATTCAAGATTTATTCAAACTGGAATTCATGGAATGACTGAAAAATATCCGTGGAAGCACACAGTATTTGAATTCAAGAATACTCATGAATTAAAATAAAAAATATTGCATCAAAATTCCAAAAATAATCACAAAAACATAACGGGTGTGCTGTGGCATTGAACAAAAAACAGCTGAAAAATAAATCATCATTGTCATTAAAACCATTTATTCGAAAACTAAATTTACTATTTAAAGCAGTGACTGCTCATGTTTAAAATAAGGAGACTAACCTGTTGTAACAGTAATAATGACAACAGTGAGGATTTTACGGCCCAACCAGCAGAGATGCAAATTCTGTCGCTGCAAAACTTCCCGCCATTCCCGTCGTTGGAGCTGACGGACGCGAGTGACGAACAGACGCTTTCGGTGCTTGTCAGCCACCTGGAAATGTGTATTCGCCAGAGGCAGAACATGCGGGACGAGTTGGCCCGGGCTCGTAAGTGCCACCAACAGGCACACATGTATGCACGGCATCCACTATCAGATCTTAATGCACAGCACATTTATTATGTCGGGTAAAAGTGATAGTTCAATTGTTGACCGTCAACAAATTTAGAAACATGCGTTTAGATTATTTGGCTGCTATACATTTCCACATGGTAATCCACTTCATTGAGCTATCATTAGTGGCCAGGTCACTTCTGAAAAAGAGCTATATAGCTCAGTAGGCTGTACTTGGTGAAATTAACATAGTTTAGTTTATTTAGCTATCTTATTGTTGTTGCTACCACTCTGCCACGTAATGGAATTGTTTGAAAGAATTATGGGTTTTTGCTTTCTCTGCTATTCCTCTGTTGGCGAATAGAGGGTATCTTGCGAGCAGGCCTGCAGGAGCTGGACAATAATGTGATGGGGCGTGAGAACTGGATCGAGACGCAGCAGGACAAGTTGGCAGAGAAGGACCGGCAGCTAGCAGCGCAGCGTGCAGAATTAGAGCGCATGGAGAAGAAGGCCAAGACGCTCGAGTACAAGGTATGTGTAGAACTCGCAATGACATTTCTGACGAGTTTTTTTTGTTGACTTTTGAATAGAGGTGGCGAACATACAGCTCTCAAGCCAAATTTCCCTGAGGACTTCATTTCACATAGCCCATGGCTAATTGAGGCCTCGCACTTGGACTTGCACATGATATGATAGATCTGTCACTGCAAGCATCAGAGCCACACTAATTGGCTACTAGAAGGGAATATTTTATAACTAGCAACACTATCAAATGTTATCATACTTAACCACCTCTGTCACTGTAACAGCCTCTTGTAGTCACAGAGGTGACTGATGCGTTTGATTCATTGCAGCCTACAAATGGTATTTAAAAATCAAATTTTGCAATCTATAAGGAAAATGCTCCAAGCCCCACTTTAGACAATGCTTAAGTGTTCTGAATTTGTGAAATAATAAGCTAACTTATATTCTGCACAGTGTCGCCTCTCAAAAGTGTTTTCTATAATTGTGCCGTATGCACGTTTGCAGATCGACGTACTGCAGAAAACCAACAACATTCACGAGGATGACAAACGGCTTCTGCAGCAACAAGTGGAGGAGAAGCGCAATGAGCTACAAAGGCAGCTCGGTGACAAGCAGCGAATGGAGATGCGAATGCACGGTGTTGTCAGTGAGACGAAGAGCAAGTGGGAGCGTGAATGTGTGAGTGTTCCCCACATGTCTTATCAAATTCACTTTTTTATGTTGAGATAAGTGCTGTTTTTTCGATGAAAAGTAGTTTGGGAAATCAAAAGCAGGAGTTATCCATATCCAGCAACTATGTTTTATACCAAAAATATTTTCTAAAATATATCCTCCCAAAAAATATAACTTGCTCAGGACCAGGAGAAAATGTCTACATTTATATATGTAAAATTCAGTAAATTAGGAGAAATAAGCTGCAGATTATGAGTTCCATCCAATCACAATGGTAATCAGGAAGTGTACTATAACATTTCACAATTAGGTTGGTGCCTTTGGGCTGGTAAAAAAAAATGGTTCAATCTACGCAACTTAACACTTATTGGATCCCACTGTTGGCATGGACACTGCCTCGAGGCACAGTGTTATATTTTTAGCAAAGTCGTTAACAACTAAATTTCGATTTAAGCTTTCGTGACTGCAGGGATTCGTCTTCTTGGTTCTTTCGGTAAAGTCACGTAGAAGGGAAATAATAAAATAATAAAAATAAAACATAATAAAATAATTCTCACGACGTTTCGGCCACAACGCAAGCAGCCATCCTCAGGTGAAGACCAGGTCTGTTGGTGAGACAGCGTCTGAATGAAACACCACCACGCTTGGAGCGTCTTTTTAAGCTGGGTTGGAAGGGGGAAGGGCGCCTTGACAAAATAATTTGCATATTACAAACTAGTTACGTAGTCGTATTACATTGCCATCTTTGCCACATGCTGGGCTAGGATCGACGCGTGGCAGCCAAGCAGATGGAGATGCAGAACAAGCTGTGGGTGAAGGACGAAAAGCTGAAGCAGCTAAAGGCCATCGTGACAGAGACAAAAGGGCCGGAGCGGACACCACGCGAGCGAGAGAGAGTGCCACCCCCGCGTAAAAAGCGTTCCGCCTCCCCTTCACCTGCACCGGTAATTACTTTTCTGAAGTTAACATTCGCACTGCACAACAGTTATGCATTCGATAGGAGTTGTACTGCAACACGAGGAAATGTTTGTGTAGAGGCTATGAGTTTTGGGTAGAGAAATCCAAGTTATAATATAAGCTGACAGGTTCACAGCTGATTCATGTGATTTTCACATTGTTTAACATGTGTTTACTGAGAGGATTGTGGGTCTTTTCATCGCTTTGCGTGCTTGTGGAATAGCCAACATCTGTCCACGTCTGCACGGGACCGCAGAGAGGGCCCGTGGCCTTGCCACGCAATGCCTTAACCAGCCGCCGTTCCAACTCCCACGACAACATTTCTGTTGCATCCTACGTGAACGAGTGGGAAGGGAGGCTGGGGCCTGGTGAGGCGTGGAAGGGTTTGCGAAAGCATCACCAAGGTAGGCAGGCAGGCAAGATGGCGGCCACTCCCACCCACATGGACAGGTGTTTGAGAAGGACCACAAGGAAAAATGAGGCTGCAGAAGAATGCTTATCAAGCAGTGAGGAACAAGAGAGGCAAGTGAGTGAGGATAGTGAAGGACAGCAGGCAAGCCAGATGCATCTCAATTACACAAGTGAGGAAATACAAAACTGAATTTCTTTGTAGCATATATATTGCTGTGTGCACTGATTTCATTAGCTCTGTATGTCCGCACTACTTTAGACGGCACCCCCAGTGCCACTGAGGCACAGGAGGTCACATTCGGCTGGGCCGGAACGCTGGATCGACCACAAGCCAGCGACGAGTGTGGATACGGGGACGGTGATGCAGCCATCGGTTACCAATTCCGTCACGGTGCTCATGCCGACAGAGCGTGCCCTTTCCAAGGCGGACAAGTACATGCTCACACATCAGGAACTCGCCTCGGATGGAGAAATTGAAACTCGTCTCATCAAGGTGAAGTGAATAAGGAAATCTTCATGGTTAATCTTGAGTGCTTTTTTATTATTTGTAGAAAGTGTTTGTTGCATTCTTCGTTTGAATTTAGTTATAAAAACAGTATTGATTTTTGCATGGAAACGTTTGCTGAATGGGTCATGCTTTGGTTAATCTGGTATAGATTCCTCAAATTATTTAAGAAAATAATTGGCCAAAGGACCTGAAAAAGACATTCTAGACTCAGCGAGCATGTCTTTTACCTACTTTGTATTCTCATAACAGGAATGCATGTCTGAAACTGAATACGTTTTTTGTCTGCAGGGCCAAGTTTACAAGACACGAGGCGGTGGTCAGTCCGTACAGTTCACAGACATTGAGACCCTAACGCAGGAGTCGCCCTCATCCAGGTACTGTCCACTGTTTTTACAAGTTTTATTTTTGTGGATTTTTACATTGCCTGCATTTACATATATTCGTGAGAATGTTGGTACATTTTTTCTACGTTTTCTCATGATATGCAATGCTGCACCGATCTTGACCTCTGTAGGAAGCGCAAGTCAGATCAGCGTGCGCCTGTGCAGCGATCAGATACACCTGACTCTGAGTGGACCGACGTGGAGACAAGAGTGAGGACAAAAGTGTTGTTGTTTATCATTTTGAGTCTTGAAATAATAAGAAATCCAGAAAACAAATTGCTCTTATTTTGTAAACAAATAACTTGCTGTCCCAGGATGTGTGACATGAGTTTGAAGCTTTGTTAGCAGAAATACATTTAAAGTTGCAATCAAGCATGTCATGATGACATACTCGTTATTTAAATGCATTTCTCTTTCTCTGCAGTGTGCAATTGCAGTCGAGATGAAAGCTGGCTCCACTGCTGGACCAGGCATCCAACACCATGCTCAGCCCAAGTATGTATCACGAGTTGCATTGCAAAGCGTTTTTTTTTTTGGATTTGTGCTTGAATGGGGGAAAAAATCTGACTGTAATATGTGACTTTTTCAACAGACGGACGAGGCCTTAAAAATACCAACGTCTGGACTTCGAATATACGATTTGGGATCCACGCACCTTTTTAATAATTGGAGCAACCAGTCGTGGCCTGGATTTTTTTTTATCAATAAACATTTAGGTTTGTCGGAAATTGCTTATGATAACTCTTTGTACGCATATGCAGGGCCTCTACAACGTGTATTCATTGCTCTTCAAACTTGTGATCTCTGTTGAACTGAAATATGGAAAAAAAGGAGTTTTACGCCAAACTTCTAGACTACACATTTTACAATATTAAAATTTTAGTTTTAATGTGCACTTTACATTTCATTTGCTATGCTGTATTGTGTTGTTCTTTAGTTCCTCATGAAATGTACTGTCACATACAGTATTGCTAAATTTATTTTTGGCAGATTAAACACATTTACAAAATACAGAGCCGTAACAAAAAAGTATTTTAGATCAACTTCGAGATGTACAATTTT